TTCTGGAGTTATTTCTCCACTCATCTCCACTAGCATATTGGCCACCTACCGACCTGGGGACTTCCTCTTTCAGTATCCTACCAATTCACCTTTTCCTACTGTTCTTGAGGTTCTCAAGCTCCTTGGAAGGAAAGTTAAGACCAACCTAGATAGCATATTAAAAAGCAGAGACATTACTTTACCAACAAGGGTCCATCTAGTCAAAACTATGATTTTTCCAGTAGTCATGTATGGATGTGAGAATTGGACCATAAAGAAAGTTGAGTGCCGAAGAACTGATGCTTTCAAACTGTGGTGTTAGAGAAGACTCTTGAGAGTCCCTTGGACTGTAAGGAGATCCAACCAGTCCATCCTAAAGATCAGTCCTTAATATTCATTTGAAGGGTTGATGCTAAAGCCAAAGCTACTTTGGCCACCTGATGCAAAAAACTAACTCATTGTAAAAGACCCTGATGCTGGGAAAGGTTGAAGGCAGGAAGAGAAGGGGAGACAGAAGATGAGATGGTTGGATGGCATCATTGACTCGACGGACATGAATTTGAGCAAGCTCCGGGAGTTAGCAATGGACAGGGAAGGCTGGTGTACTGCAGTCCATGGAGTTGCAAAGAGTCAGACACAACTGAGTGACTGAACTGAACTGAATCGATATATAGATATAGATATATATACACACACACACATATATATATATACACACACACATATATATACATAAAGACAAACATAGGGTTTCCCTTGTAGCTCAGTTGGTAAAGAATCTGCCTGGAGTATTGTTGTCTGGGAAATTCCATGGACAGAGGCTCTTGGTGGGCTAAAGTCCATGGGGTTGCAAGTGTCAGACACGACTTAGCACCTAAACCACACACACACACACACACACACACACACATACACACACACGTATGTGTGTGTATATAAAGAGGAAGACCAGATGCATGAGAAGATGACCTCATGTATAACTTGGCAGCCCGAGGAAACACTCTCCTCTACCTTCCCTCACTTTAGTAGCTACAAGAAAGCAAGAGTTCCCCAAAGACAAACCATCCAGTTTAAAACAATGGGCAGAAGACTTGAATAAACATTTCTTCGAAGAAAATATATAAATAGCCGACGAGCACAAGAAAAGATGCTTAACATCATTAACCACCAGGGAAATGTAAATCAAAATCACAATGAATGAGATATGACTTCATACCTAGTATGATGGCTATAATCAGAAAAGGGGACAATAACAAATGTTGGCAGGGATGTGGAGAAATTGGACCCTGCATTCCACTGTGCAGCTGCTGTGGAAATTGGTTTGTCAATTCCTAAAATGTAAGCATAAAATTACCATATGACCCAGCAACCCTAGGCCAGATATACAGCTAAAAGAACTGAAAACAGGAACTCAAACAGATACTTGTATGCCAACATTTTTTGCAACTCTATTCACAATAACAGAAATGTGGTAAGCAAAATGTGATAGATACATACATACAATGGAATGCTCAGTTCAGTCCAGTTCAGTGGCTCAGTCATGTCTGACTCTTTGCGACCCTATGGACTGCAGCACGCCAGGCCTCCCTGTCCATCACCAATTCCTAGAGTTTACTCAAACTCACATCCATCGAGTCAGTGATGCCAACCAACCATCTCATCCTCTGTCATCCCCTTCTCCCTCTGCCCTCAATCTTTCCCAGCATCAGGGTCTTTTCCAATGAGTCAGCGCTTCACATCAGGTGGCCAAAGAATTGGAGTTTCAGCTTCAACATCAGTCCTTCCAATGAACACTCAGGACCGATCTCCTTTAGGTTGGACTGGTTGGATATCCCTGCCGTCCAAGGGACTCTCAAGAGTCTTCTACAATAACACAGTTCAAAAGCATCAATTCTTTGGTGCTCAGCTTTCTTTATAGTCCAACTCTCACATCCACACATGACTACTGGAAAAACCATAGCCTTGACTAGACGGACATTTGTTGCCAAATTAATGTCTCTGTTTTTTAATATGCTGTCTAGGTTGGTCGTAACTTTCCTTCCAAGGAGTAAGCGTCTTTTAATTTCATGGCTGCAGTCACCATCTGCAGTGATTTT